TGCAGGTCCTCGCAGGAGCTCCCGCAACGGATAGCGCAACGGGTAGCGCCCATGAAACGGAGAAACAGTCCCAAACACGCGACGTCCTGATTTTTTCAGGACGGCGTCCCGGAAATCCCGACCCGTTCCCCAGGACCAGCTTGTCGTCCCGAGTCGTTTTTTTCCCACATGCTTGGTGAGGTTCTGGTTTCGTTCCTTCCCGCGTCGCACCCGCGTCTCCTCCTCACCCCTTCTCATCCTTCTCCTTCTCACACATCACAGCACAGCGCAGCACAGCGCAGCGCAGCACAGCACAGTTTAGCACAGCACACAGCACATTGTCAGTCACACAGCGCGTACACAGCACAGCACAACACAGCACGGCACTGCTCAGCACAGCTCAGCTCAGAACAGCACAGCACAGCACAGCTCAGCTCAACACAGCACAGCTCAGCACTGCACAGCACCTCAGCACACCACAGCTCAGTACAGCTCAGCACAGCACAGCTTCCCCACATGTTTCGTGGGGTCCCTCAGCGTGGCCTCTATGCGTGCCAGTGTCGGACAGCGTGGCAGGCGTTGCACTTTCTGGACACCATAAAGGGGGTGCGCAGGGCGTGGTCTCTCAGCGCGGCCGCTATCCACGACACTGTCGCAAAGCCTAGCAGGCGTGGCAGCTTCACGACACCATGGGGGGTGCGCAGGGGGTGGTCTCTCAGCGCGGCCGCTACCCACGACACGGTCGCAAAGCCTAGTAGGCGTGACACTCTCTGGACACCATAAGGGGGTGCGCAGGGGGTGGTATCCCAGCGCGGCCGCTATCGACGACACTGATGCAAAAAAACTTAGCAAGCGTGTCAGCTTCACGACACTCTGGGGGGTGCGCAGGGGGTGGTCTCTCAGCGCGGCCGCTAGCCACGACACAGTCGCACAGCCTAGCAGGCGAGGCACTTTCTGGACATCATAAGGGGGTGCGCAGAGGGTGGTCTCTCAGCGCGGCCGCTACCCACGACACGGTCGCAAAGCCCAGCAAGCGTGGCACTTTCTGGACACCAGAGGGGGATGCGCAGGGCGTGGTCTCTCAGCGCGGCCGTTATCCACGACACCGCCGCAAAGCCTAGCAAACGTGGCACCTTCTGGACACCATAGGGGGTGCGCAGGGGGGGTGTCTCAGCGCGGCCGCCATCCACGACACTGTCGCAAAGCCTAGCAGGCGTGGCACTTTCTGGACACCAGAGGGGATGCGCAGGGCGTGGTCTCTCAGCGCGGCCGCGATCCACGACACTGATGCAAAAACACTTAGCAGGCGTGGCAGCTTCACGACACTATAGGGGGTGCGCAGGGGGTGGTCTCTCAGCGCGGCCGCCATCCACGACACTGTCGCAAAACCTAGCAAGCGTGGCGCCCTCTGGACACACCATAAGGGGTGCGAAGGGGGTGGTCTCCAAGCGCGGCCGCTATCAACGACACTGTCGCAAAGCCTAGCAGGCGTGGCACCTTCCTCGACGCCACAGGGGGTGTGCTGGGGGTGCGGTCGCTATCCGTTTCGGCCTCGCAAAGCGTGGCAGGCGTGACGCTTCCTCGACGCCACACGGGGTGCGCTGGGGGTGCGGTCGCTATCCGATTCGGCCTTGCAAAGCGTGGCAGACGTTGCACTTTCTCGACGCCACAGGGGGTGCGCTGTGGGTGCGGTCGCTACCCGTTTCGGCCTCGCGAAGCGTGACAGGCGTGGCACTTCCGCGACGCCACAGGGGGTTCGCTGGGGGTGCGGTCGCTATCCGCTTCGGCCTCGCAAAGCGTGGCAGGCGTGGTACTTTCTCGATGCCACAGGGGGTGCGTTGGGGGTGCGGTCGCTATTTTTTCGGCCTCGCAAAGCGTGGCAGGCGTGGCCTTTTTTCGACGCCACAGGGGGTGCGCTGGGGGTGCGGTTGCTATCCGTTTCGGCCTCGCAACTCTCCTTTTGACTGGCGTCGCCAACGGTATCGGCGGGGCAACGGCCACCAACATCATTCTCACATGCTTCACTTCAACTATCATCACTCCAGCCATAATATAAGTATGCCGGGTTCCTCGGTAGCGTAATTGACGGCCCCGGGGCTCACTGAGGGCCTCCCGGCGCCGAAAATGGCGAAAGCCGCCCGTCCTTTCTTACGACGCGATCATGTCTTTTTGGGTCAACGAAGGACCACACTCCGCCGAACCTCCCCGGGAGCTCACGAAAGTGCCTGCAGTGACGCAGTTGGCAGCGCCCAGGGACGGAAGAAATTCGCCGACCCTGCCGACGTGTGTGAGAGGCTGTCCCGTTTGCTCCGTTCTCGCCGTCGTCGTCGCCGTCGCCGGCGCCGCTGTCCTCCCCTTTCCGTAAGCCCGTCACAGGGTCCTCCTCCTCGCGCTCCCCAGCCAAACGAAAATCTGCAGTGCCGTTATATTAAATCTAAGGGAAGCCCTTCCCTTGATCCTTTCCCGGCAGGGGTGTGTGGGGGGAGTCCTGAGGCTGGGCACCGGTCAGAATACCATCATTCTCCAGAAAATCCCAGGGTCCAAAAAGCACCCATGACGGCCCAAGAATGCCCCAAGAAGCCCCCAAGACGGTCCAAGAGGGCACGGCCCAAGACGGTCCAAGAGGGATCCTGACGGCCCAAGAGGCTGCCAAGACGCTCGACGAGGCCTCCAAGAGCACACCAAGAGGGCCCAACAGGCAAACACCAATGCTTTTCTACAGGCTTTTGCGAGATTCTGGCCTTCTCGCCTCTTCGGCGTCCCGACGCCCCAAGACGGCCCAGGACGTCACCAAGATCTCTACAGGAGGCCCCCAACAGGTTTCCAAAACGCCCCCCCAAGCGAGCCAAGACGGCCCTAGATCGACGGCGAGCCCAGGGGGGAAGTGAGAAGGAGAAGGGCTTCTCAGAAGGCTCGGAAGTCCCCAGGCCTTCTGAGAAGTTAAGCCTTCCCCGAAAACACAAACAAATTCTCGGAAGGCCCGAGGGCTTCTGAGAAGTCCCGCCGGCTTCTGAGAAGGCATTCTCCTTCTCATGTCCTCCCCTCGCTCGCCGCCGACTAGAGCCCTCCCAGACGGTCCAAGAGGCCCCCGAGACGGTTCAAAGAGGGTGCCCACACGCTGGAGCCCGAACGCACCTTTCGAGCCCTCTCGGCCCTGGGAAGCCCGAAACCTGCGCCAATGTGGCCTACGAGCGCGCTCCGAAGAGGCCCCACAAAGCATCCCTGAGGGACTCTGCCCCACGGCAGCGTCGTCGTCGTCGTCGTCGTCGTCGTCGTCGTCGTCGTCGTCGTCGGCGTCGTCATTCAGGGTCGGCGGCACAATCCGTGAGGCCTCACCAATAGTTTGGGCCATGGTGAGACCGCACTCCGCTGGACAACCTAGGAGCTCATGAAAGTGCCGGCGAAAGGGCATCGCTCGGGGAAGGGGGGGGGATACTTTTTGGTTCGCTCAAGACCGCTCTCAGCTGGACACCCCAAAAGGCCAGCCGAAAGTACTAGATCTTCGTTCGGGATCCAATGCCATTGTCATGCAGGGGGCCCGACGACGGATCTGGGAGGCCGAAACAGAAACAAACTTTGGATCGAACGGGCAGCCCTGATGATTCTAGCGACGCCAGGATCTGGAGGTGCCCATGACACCGCAGACCGACCTGGGTTGCGATCCGACCAGGATGCTGGAGCCTTTCTGGGCGTGGTGACCAAGCGCTGCCGTGAGGCCCACACTGGGCGAGGCAAATGCTTGAAAAGCTCAAACCTCGACCGTTCGAACCTCGAACGGTCGATCCTCTCCCAGACAATCGCAGTGTTGATTTGTCAACACGGACCACCAAAAACCCGAACCCTTCCAAAGGACAGAGCTTCCATCCCGAGCCGTTTTTTTCACGGCCCCGGGGCCCAGCGAGAGCCCCAGAGCCCGAAAACTGGCAACAACTGCCCGCCCCGAGTTTTTCGCGACGCGAGCATACCTCCGTGGTGCCGATGCCACCATTTCTTTGGACGCCCGACATGGGTACCGAAACACTGGGTACGATGCCCAACAACAAATGTTGTCCCAAGCCAACAGCGGCCGCTGTTGGGCAGGCGGCCTCCTGTCTCGAGTGGACACAGGCCGCGGCGGCGCGGACAGCGAGCCATGTTCAAAATGAACAGGAACTGCTGTTGGGCATTGTACTCCAGAGTTCGTAATAAAAGGGAGGGGGTCTGGACCCTCCAAGACAAGCCATTTCAGACCCCCCCCCCGTGGGAGAACCCTCCAAAACATCGTCCCCAGACCCCCCCAAGCCCTCCAAGATAGCCTGGAAGAGACCCCCCCCCGAATTGAGACCCCCCTCCCTTTACTACGAAATCTGGAGTACCCATTCTTTCCGTACCCCTTTCGGGCGTCCAGAATTTCCAGGACCTCTCTGCCGAGGTGTGCGCCCTGGCTGGGCTTTCTCGCAGCGACTCTCTAGCCGCGGCGACGAAGGCCTCTCCCGGGAGGCCCTCGCCAGTGCCAGGGCGAGGGGATGGCCATAGCGGGGGCGCCCATCCACTTTTGCATGTGTCGCTTGCGTGCTTTTTTTGTTGTTTGTGGTTTTTCTTTGTTTCTTTTGTTTACTTTTTTTTCTGCCAGGTGATCCAAGATGCTCCTCGATGGTCTCCGCCGCAAAAAGAAAAAACACGAGTCCAAGCGATGGCATAGGGAAAGGCAGCGGCACCGTGGTTTGGGAACAAACAGCGCCCGCCCATCTCCAATGCGGGCTGAAGCGGGTCCAACCCCCCGGCCCCAATTCCAAAGCTCGGGATGGTCGACGTAGGGGAACGCGAGTCGTTTCGGACAAAAAACGCCCACATTTGCAAACCGCGGCCTACTCCCTAAGGGACCCCTGGATGAACATTGAAATTGGGGGCGCGGGGGGTGCTCTTGCGCCATTTTCCTGTCGTTGTACCTGGGCGTTTTTCTCTCTCGAAAACGCTGGTATCGGTACCTTCCCCTTGCTTGACGTTCGATCCCCTCCCTTCCGCCCTGACAGGCGCCAGTCCTCGAGCATGGCGGCGTACTCGGCTTTCGACGGCGCCGCCCGGCCGTTGTTCGGCGCGTGCTGCCTCGGCGTGGCTGGGTCCCTTCTCCGCGGCGTGGCCTCGGTAGGGGGGGGGAGGAGTAGGAGGAGGAGGAGGAGGAGGAGGAGGAGGAGGAGGAGGAGGAGGAGGAGGAGGAGGAGGAGGAGGAGGAAGAGGAGTAGAAGGAGGAGGAGGAGGAGGAGGAGGAGGAGGAAAAGGAGAAGGAGGAGGAGGAGGAAGAGGAGGAGGAGGGGACTGCTCATTGGGCTGCTCAAGTGGTGAAGGACCCCTTGGGGCCGAGACCGCCCCACCGCGAGCGCCACCACCCCAGGGGGGGGACGCCTGCACGCTCGTCCGTGTCACCTGGTCCCCAGCCGCCCCTCCGTGGCCCGCGCCCAGGGGAGGCGCTGTGCACGCTGGGCAAGCGCGGCGGCACTGCGTTCCCCCCAAAGCCCTGCCCAGCACTGGGCACTCCCGCATATCGCTCAGCAGCGCCAGCGCCCGCTGCCACTGCTCGCCCTTCTCGCACGCGCTGATCCCAGCGCTATAGCTGATGCCATTGGGCTCCAGCTTCGCCCCCCGCATCTCGCTCAGCAGCGCCAGCGCCCGCTGCCACTGCTCGCCCTTCTTGCACGCGCTGATCCCATCATTGTAGCTGATGACGTTGGGCTCCAGCTTCGCCTCCCGCATCTCGCTCAGCAGCGCCAGCGCCCGCTGCCACTGCCCGACCTTGTCGCACGCGCTGATCCCAGCATTGTAGCTGATGACGTTGGGTTCCAGCTTCGCCTCCCGCATCTCGCTCAGCAGCGCCAGCGCCCGATGCCACTGTTCACCCTTCTCGCACGCGCTGATCCCAGCGCTATAGCTGATGACTCCGGGCTCCAACTTCGCCTCCCGCATCTCGCTCAGCAGCGCCAGCGCCCGCTGCC